AGTAGACAGACATGAAGACAACTTAAGTTCCATCATATTAGGGAGTATTTCAGGATGAGCAAAAAACATAAACTATGACAGAACAAGATTAAAAATCCCAGTTCCAAAACCAAGTAGCTATGTGATTTTTACCTTGAGCTTATTTTATTGCTCATATATAAACTGGATGATGTTACCTATTTCAAGGGGGTATTTCAAGGATTGAGTGAGAAAATACACAGCACATAGCATATAATAGGTACATGATAAGGGAAATTGGAGTAACCACCTCTTCCTGCCCAGGGCTTCTCAAACTTGAATGTACATTAGATTGTTTTAGAATCTTGTTAAAATGAAGATTCTGGTGGGGAGGGGGGTTAGGGAGTAATTGGATAAGGGACACAAAGAATAATTATGATTGTAATGATAAACATGCTAATAATACTGATTTGATCATCATATACTATACACAAATACTGATAGTCACTCTGTATGCTATAAATTTATATAATGAAAAAAAGAGAGATTCTGGTGCAGTAGGCCTGAGGAGGGGCCTGAGATCCTACATTTTCAACAAGTCTCCAAGTAATATCTATGATGTTTCTTGAGGGACTGTGCTTTCATTAGCAAAGGTTTAGAGATTACATTGTTTTTGTTTTGTTTTTGTTTTTGAGAAGCTGATACTGGAGATGAATCCTGAAAAATTAGTAGGTACCATCCAAGAAGAAAATGGACAGTGGAAAACAGGGCATATCAGAAGGGTACATGGACGGCCGGGGCTTGCCTGTAGTGTAAGCAGAATGGGAGTGTGAAGAGCCTGGAGGATGAACTTGAGGAAAGAATTTTATTTATTTATTTTTTATGGTAGCTGGCCAGTATGGGGAATGGAACCCTTGACCTTGGTGTTACAAGGCCACACTCTAACCGATCTAGCTAACTGGCCATCCTGGGGAGAGAATTTTAGAATGAGAGAGAGGAGCAAGACATAGGGTCTTCTAGGCCTTGCCCAGGAGGTAATGAGGGATACACAGAAGAATTTTAAGATGTGAGTGATTTGATCAGCTGTGAAATTCAGAAAGATTGCCCTGGAAACAGTAAGAGGATGGGTGGAGGGGAGTATGATTGGAGTCAGGCGGGTATGGTGCTATTCAGCAGTTGTTGAGACATGAGTCTGAGCCAGAGCAGCAATGGCAGTATGGACTGAGAGAAAGCGAAGCCTATGAAAGACATCAAGGATATGGAATTGACAAAACTTGGGCATTTATTAGATATGGAAAGAGGAAATGAAGTTGAAGTTCAACTTTTTATTTAGGTGACTTGAGTAGATGACAACATCACTTTCCAAGTAATTCAGGAGGAAGAGAAAAGTTTATGGAATGGAAAATGAGTTGAGTTTGGGAATATGTTGAGTTTGTGTAACATCTGAATGGATGTGCCTGTTAACAAAGTTAGAGTTATAGAAGAGTTTGGGACCTATTGGTAAATATTATGGTAGATGGAGTCATGGAGATAGGTTCTGTCATTCAAGGTCAATAGTAGAGAGTGAAGCAAAAGAAGACAAGATTCTCATGCAAACCAACATGAGGAGTGAGGAGAGGAAGAGAAATCCACCAAACAGACTGAGGAGAAATGATCAGAAAGAGAGAAACAGAATGGGGAAGAAATATCATCAGGAAAGGCTAGGAAGAGGAGAGTTTGCAGAAGAAATTGACCAGCTGTGTCAAATGTAAGTTACATAAATAAAGACTGAAAACTACAAATTGGTGATATTTGTCAGAGTAGTTTCATTAGAATAAGGTAGAGAAAAGCCAGATTGTGGTGGACTAAAAATGAATGGAAGACATGGAAACAGAAAGTCAATATAGAATATACATTCAGCAGTTTGGCAATAATGGGAAAATTTTAATAACTAGTAGCCATAAATAGCCCCAAGGCTGAGTGTTTCATTTAAGTGATTGATTGATTGATTCATTTATTTGTTCATTCATTGTCTTAAGCATACTTAGTCTGCTGGGAAGGAATGAGTAAAGAAGAAACACATAAAGATAGGTCGAGGGAGTGACTAAGAGAGCAATGCCCAGGAGAAGCAGCACAAATTCATCTGAGACTGTAGAAATAAGGTGGAGCTGGGCACCTGTGCAGATGGGTCCCTACATGTAGGGATGGATATTGCATACATAGTAGCTCAGGCTTATTCTGTAACGTGGAAGACAAGATCATTGGCTGGACACTGAAGATGGAAGCTACACCTAGAGACAAAACTGTGTAATGAGACCTAACCTCAAAGTTCGGTGGTTTTCTCCAGTAGTACTTGACCCTGTGCTCATATTTCCTTTTAAATTGTCCATAAACCTTGTTGATGCTACCTCAAAACAATAAAGAAGTGTGTGTTTCACAAATAGAGAATTCTCTGATATATACCAATTTTTGGAATTCCAAACAGCAAGCTGGCCTTCTTTCCTCTGCACTTCATTCATCTCGTTTTCCAGCCGACAAGAGGAGATAGAGATAGAAAGATGGATTATGTGTGTGCGTGTATATATGTTGCACTCTTTAGTGGTGATGACATCTGTAGAACCATCAAAGAAATCTTTCAAGGTTACAGAACGAAAAAGTTGGAAACGGCTGCTTTTATTCATTCAGAAATCTTACTTAGTGTATACTTCAAGCTCTTTAATCCAATTAGGATTATGTGTCAAAATTCTTTTGTTCATTTCACCTAAATAATCATGACTCCTCAACTTCCTAACGCAGTTCTCAGCTGAACATCATTATTCAACAATAAACTAACAAAATAGGAGGCTAATGGTCCTTGTTAACTAGCAGAGCAACAGGCCACTGGCTTTAATTTCAGGATTCAATCCTCAAGATATCTCTACTGAATTCTGCAGATCAACTGCAAGTGGAGATATAAATGAGCCAGCCAAATCCTCGACTTCTCAGAAGTGGGAGAGAGGGGGATGGGGGCAAAAATGCAGTTTAGAAAATAAAAGTTGTAATTCCATTTTGAGTTACATCAACGGGCAGAATATGTTATTTCAAATATTTTTGAATGAATTAAAAATCTCTCAATTTGGCCACTTCAATATGTATTTTATTGGTTAATTCAATTATCCCCTCTGATAGTATTCCATTTTCCCAATTTCTTTCCCCAAACACTTCTTAAATACTAACCACTGTAGATTTTTAATATACACAAGTATCTGATTCCTTACAAGTCTCCAGAATTTGCCTAAACTACATTTCATGAAGCTGATTGGTGACCTAGGAAGGAAGTACAGGAGTCCAGTGCTCTAGTAAACAGCTTAGAAAGTGGTTGTGCACTGTTTCTGCCTTGAGATCAAACTCTGTGACACTCCTGACTCCCTTAAAAATATCAATGACCACTACTTTGAAGCACATCTAAGAATGTATTCAGGATAATAGCAAAGAGCATAGACACTGTGTTACGCAAAGAATGTTTAGAAAAACTATTTAATCTAGAACTTGAGGAAACACGAGAGCTGTCTGTGTTAATATACTTTCATATGCAAGTGAGAGATGCCAGTTCAGAATGACTTAGGGAAAAACCAAAATGATTTGGTTGAGATAACTCAAAGTCTGAACAAGGATGCCAGATTTGGGCACAGCTGGAACCAGAGGCTCAGACTCTGTCATCAGAATTTAGTCTTTCTTTCTCCATCTCTTGCCTCTACCATTCTCTGTGTTGACTTTCTTCTCAGCTAGCCATCTGACAGTGCCATGCTTACCTCCCATGCCTCCAGCAATCCTAGTGAAAAAAGGAATGTCTAATAGTTCCAACAAAAGTCCTGAACTGGACTTGGGCCAAATCCCCCACTCCTGGAGACTACATGTTCTTTATGGAAAAGCTTTGTGCTGTTCCCACAAGACAGTGGGCAAATGCCAGGCAGATAAGAACTACAGATGTCCTACACTGCCTTCAAATATGTGGTGGGCTGTCATGTGGATTAGGAGGTAAACTTCCATGAAGCTCCAAGAATGAGAAGTAGACCCCCTGTGTAAACTTTACAAGAAAGTAGATTTCTGCTCACTCCCCAAAAGGATCTTTTCACAGAACCATTAACAGCTGAAACAGGCTTCCTCAAGATGTGCCAAGTACCAGGTCCTTCCACATGTTCAGGTACAGGCCAGATGGGCAGCTGTGAGGAGTGCTGGCAAGGAATTCCTGCACTAGGCAGAGCTTTGCCTACATGACCCATGAGGTCACTTTTGACTCTATAATTCTATTATCCTTGTTAATTTCCACAATTCAATTTGCAGTACAGGATAAACAAACCAACCTAATTTGATCTGGAACTTCTGCAGGCTAGCACAGGTCATTTAATTTAAAACACATGGCTCTAGCCATTAGTGTGTTTTCTGAAGTCATCTATCAGACCTTGACCTTAACAAGGTCTCCATGTTTTTCCAGCCTTCTGCTTATTCCACAATTGCCTTTCATTCTCCTTTAGACTGGGGTGGAGGGAGCAGGAAAGAGTTTTCTTCTTTCTGAATTTCTCCTCTTAAATCTTATAATAAGTGAGTCCCCATTAAAATTACATTGCTTACATCTTTATGTCTCGATTTGCCTTTCCCATTGCAGGTTTAAGAGTCTATGAGAAATGGAAGCTAGGACCATAGATAATCACAGCTCTGTATAAAGTCTATTAAGGCAAATGTGCAAAGCAGAAAAAATGAGATTTTTGAAATTTGGTATTAAAAATTAATTTATGAAGTAAATTTGTTACACCTCAACATTGTTAGAATTAGGGTACCAAAACCACTTGAGTCTTAGTCATTATGAAATATACACATTCGCATGAAAATTGTATATTTTAATATATTTTAAATATATTTAAATAAAGTATATTTTCACAGCTGAAATCACTCCCACCATACATGTACTCTGCTCTGCTTGAACTGGAACTTCTGTGTTACAGAATACAGCCCACAGATAAAATTTTCTTTTTGCCAGAATATGTCCATCCTTAATAACTGATGATGTTACTTCTCTTTTTCAGTGAATGTTGTGTCGATGCTACAGGAATTTTGGGAAGGCAAGCAGCAGCAGAGGGCTGCATTCCCAGGTGAAGGTGTGGTTGTCTATGAGTCGCTGCCAGCTCCTGGACCTCCCTTTGTGAGTTACGTGACCCTTCCGGGGGGAAGCTGTTTTGGCAACTTTCAGGTGAGAAGCAACCACCAATTTGTCAGTGAAAGTTAATTAGGTTAAAATAGAGTAAACCCTTGTGTAAAATGGTAACATTGCAAGTTCTGTCAGATATAGAGAACGAATTGTATCATATTCTATTATATATACTGAAAAATTGGTCAGATGTTTCAACTTCTAAAAATGGAAGTGTTTTATATTAAGAAGCGCCCTGATATTTCTTATGAAAAACTAACTTTATAGCACATCATTTTATTTGCAGATAGCTGCTGTCCTTTCTTCTCTCAGGGCCCTCCCATCTGTAAAAAGTCTCCACTTTCATAAGTTTTGTAATCAAATGTTAATCAATCTACTATATGCCAAAGCATGAACCAACAGCAAAGGGTTGAAAATCATAGGGTTGGGTTCAGGCATCTATGCTAGGCCCAAGGTCTGCCTCTGACTACCTGTATACCTTGGCAAACTTAACTTCCAGGGAGTTGGTTGGAAGTCATTTGAAATATGTACACAATGTGTTTAGCATGGTATCTGGTATATAGCAGGTATCCCAAGTATTGTTTTTACAATTATTGTAAAGACTCTTCCAATTGGTTCAATCTTTGTGTTTATGATGGGGTGTAAATAATGATACATTTCTAGTTGTATACCTACTCACATAAAAAACATTTGCCTACATTAAGCATCAACATCTGGTTATCCAGTGTGTGTAACAAATACTCGCTGAGTAACTAGGAAATACAAGCAATGGGCCAAGTACTGAGGGTATGGTCCATACCCTGGGGAAATCAATGTACAAAAAAGGTTACGATAATTACATAGAGTTATGTGTGAGCGTCCATGAAAGCACAAGGAAAGGAACTTCTAAATTTAGCAATCCTCTTTAGAAGTACCACTTTAACGCAGTAAACTATCTCTCAATTTTCAGTAACTGGCAACCATGCTTTATAGCTTATGGACACTGTGAAACTTCTAAGCAACCACGTTTGTCTCTTAGGCTTGACAACTAAGAAGCCCAGAGGAAAATTTTCAGTGTATCTCTTTGTAGTGTAGTTCTACAGAATTTTATGTCATATAATTCTTAAAATTACCCTTGTACCTAGTATTATTTATATTTCTACCTTTACTTCCACTTTGAACTTAACGCCTCTCATTTATTTTATCCTGTTACCCAGTGTATCTGTTTTACATTGTCTCAAATCCTTTGTGGAGTGAGGGAAGAACATAATTTAATAAACAGACCCTCAAACCTATGCTGCCCAGGAGAAATCAAAGAAGGATTCACAGGGAATGCAAACATGAACTGAGACGTGCAGTTGAGGGTGTCTTGTCCAGTCATCAAAGGGGAGATGACATTCTCGGCATAGGGAATGGTGTGTGCAAGGGCAAGGAGCAAGAGGAAACCACAAGCTTTTTCAGAATATGGGAGCACATCTGTCGGTGTGTGTGGCAGTGAACTGGGGGAGAGGACTATCAGGCACTCACATCAAACTGTAAGAGACCTTCATGCCTTGCAAAGGAGTACAGCTTTTATTTTATCTAAAATCAGAATTCCTGAAGGATTCTGAACAGGAGAGTGATATATTCTCATGTTTCAGAAAGATTACTCTGCAATAGCATGAAGATGCTTTAGATCTAAATGATGTTAAAGGCCAAGGGGCTGATAGGGAGAGAGAGATGAGTGCCCTGGAGATGAGTTGCATACACAGTACATTCAGCAGGTAAAGGTGAGAGGACTTCATTAGGTACAGGAGCTAGGTTGATACCTCTGCTCTGGCCTCTGCCACTGGGTGGGCAACACAGGAGGAGCAGCCAGTATGTGCAAGGTGAGGACAGAGTCAGTGTGCAGTGTCTGGAAGCTTCCAGGCAGAGAAATGCAATCGGCCAAAAAACTGAAGCTTGAGGGAGAGAGATGGGTTGGATTTCTGAATTTCTGAGCTGAGGTTATGGCCGCAGGTACCACTGCTGAGTGAGAATGTGTGGTGAGGGAAGAAATTCAAGGAGTGATCTTAGTAATGTTTTTGGCGGGGGGTAGGGGGCAGAAGTAAATGGAAAAAGATTTCTCTAAAAAGCCTGAGGATGAGCCAGAAAGAGACAAAGATCCGGAAGAGGGAATTTATGGAAATCAAGAGATGTGACATCTCGAGATTGAGGATACAGTGAACAGGGGTCAGCCACAGTACAGAGGTCCAGTGAGATGTTCCTATTGACCATGATGAATGTAAGATCTCAATAGCCTTCAGAAGAGTAATTTCAGTGCAGAGAATGGGATACAAGTCAGATAACAGAGGATTGGAGAGTAAATTTGGGCTCAGAAATAGAGGCAGTATCCTTCAATAAGAATTTTTTTAATCCTTCCCTACTTTCTGGGATGATTCAATAGGGATTTAAAGGATTCCTTCCTACTCTTGTGGTCACCACTGCTTGGGAAAATAGAACCACCTTGCCTATTGTCCAGTGGGGAGTTGGAGAGAAAGCAGGTTCTGGTCTAATTGCCATTGGTGTCTTCTAGACATCTAAGCCATAATTAAACTAAGACTGAGCCACAATATTCAAACAGTTCTCAGCCTGCAAAGATGAGCCAGAATCAGTAAGATAAACTTCTCTTAGAATGTAAAATATCACAAAAGAAACCCCCTCAAGATTGAATCAAGATAGTAGACTTAGCACATTCCTCAACCTCTTTTCTAGTCTAAAATGCCTTCAAATGTTAAAGACATGTTTTCAAATAAGTAAATTTACAAGAGTGCTGGGCAACTAGAAAGGGTGTCATTGGAAGTGATGAATTTTGAGGCAATTCTGGGAGATGCAAGTGGAATCAAATTATTAGGTGAAAAAAATACCATGGCCTATACATGTACAAGAGAAATACACCATGAAAGTGAAGAAGAGTTAGAGAAAGTCCAGGACCAGATGACAAATGCAAAGAGCAGAAGGGGGTCCAGGGGTAATTTTAAGGCTAATTAAAGAACTGCTTTTAAAACTTCTGACTCATCCATCCATTGAGCTGTTGCCTTCCCCTACCCTGAGCAGTAGTCAGCAGTGGATTTTTTTTTTTTTTTTTTTTGACCAGTAAGGGGATCGCAACCCTTGGCTTGGTGTCGCCCGCACTGCGCTCAGCCAGTGAGCGCACGAGCCATCGTTATATAGGATCTGAACCCGCAGCCTCAGCACTCCCAGTGCGCTCCCACAGCAGTGGATTTTGACCTCTGGTGAATGAAAGTGAGTTACCTGATGAGGATAACTTGAATGTGGGCCTAGAAGCCTCGGAACAGAGCTTGATGTAACCCCAGACACCAAAGACAGGGATGAGGGGTAGGGAAGGGAGAGGAAAGGCAGCAATTGACGAAGAGGTTCCCCACGCCATGCGTGCCTGCAGGTCCACTGTCGAGCATTCTAAAGTGAAGTCTGCCAGTTCACACACCCTGCCCTCTCATCCCTTCAGCCCTCCCACTCAGAAGAGACCTCCTAGGGAAACAGACCTACTCAATTGCAGGGGAAGGTCTTCCCAGCCACCTAAACTAATATACTTCTTTGTCCGTGAGTGTCAACAAACTAAAGATCATCAGGCGTTTAAGGAAAACTGAAAGTATAAGAGAAAAGGCCAGGGCAAGCAAACAAAAGAATGGAAGAATTGAAGCAGCACTAAATATACGAGAGTATTACAATGAATAGCCTTAGAAAGTTTTGAGAAGATATTCATCCCCAAAACAGCTATGAAAAAAGGAACAAGCAGGGAATCAGAAAGTTAAAATACAATTGCCAAATTAGAACAATATAAATAATAAATAAGGAGCAAGTAAATGAATGGACATAGATGACAGCCACATTAGTAAAGGTTGACAAAGTATAAAAATAAAAATAATAATAAAGTGAATCTTTTAGAATTTAGAGCAAAGAGACAAAGAGATGAAAGAAGACAATACAAGAGATATGGGGATAAATGCTGGAGGTGAACATTGATCTAATAAGAGTTCTAGAAAGAGACAAAGGAAATAGAAGGGGAAAGTAAATAACAGAAGTAGTTTTCTTTGAGTTAAAGAAAAGTACAAGTTTTCAGATTGAAATGACCACCATATTCCAAGCAGGATCATGACAAAAGAATCTCATAGCTCTGGGGCTGTGTGGGACTAGGGACAGTAATCTGTTTAAAAGGTGGATCAAAGGACTTTTTTGATACCACATTTGTACATGAATCTGTTTTTTAAATTAGATTCAATGTGAATGTAGCTTTAGGGGAACTTCAGGGGAGCTGGTGAAATGGAGCAAAAACTGGCAAACTTGGTTAAGAAAATAAAAAATTGTTTCTTTGAAAAGATAAGTAAGAAAGACAAATCTTTGGCATTTCTGATTAAGAAAAAAACCAATATATATGCCACACTAAGCATGAGGAGATGCAATCCTAGAAGTGTGGTTGGTATAAGAATACCACGTAAGTTATTATGTTAAAACAACATCAAATGATATGGACTACTTTTTGGGTTCTCTGTATTATCTTTGCAACTCTTCTATAACTATAAAATTATTTCAAAATAAAGTTTTTTTAAAAGGCTTCGGTGGCTCCCTATAACCTTCTTATTAAAGTCTAAATTCCTTACTTCATTGTAAAGATTCTACAACTGACCCAACTTTTCCTTCCAGCTTTATGTCCCTGAATCCATCTTCTGACACCTATTGCTTCAACCTGACTATTCCTCATCCATGTCTTGACAGCCTTTAACCACTCCCATACTCACACTGTGACCTACTGTCACCTCCTGCTCATGTCTAAACCCTGCCCATCTCCCAAGACTCCACTCAAATGTCACATTCTCCATGAAAGCTCTCTGAATCTCCCTGCTAGAAATCTCTACCTCCTCTGATTTCCCAAAGCAGTTATCTCTGTTTCTGTACTAGTGCTTAATGTTTTCTACCCTCTGTTAAAGTTACTTATGTGCATGTTCTGTCTCTGTAATAAAATGTTAAGTTCCTCAGGGACAAGGTTGGAAGCTTTATGTCCCCCATGACTCTAAGCACAATTT